CCCCAAAACCCCAAAACCCCAAAACCCCTGGTTTGGAGGAGAAGATTGAATTTTTGTTAATTTTTAAATTTTGATAGGCTCATTTGGTTGACATACTTGTTGAGGCCTTTTCTGTATCTTCTTTGGGTTTCTGTTTCTACTTCTTGTTCGTATTCTTGGTCGTCGTAAGCCATATCTTCGTCTAGGTTTATAAGAAAGGAAAGGTTACCGGCAATATTGTCGCTACTGTTGATATCATCTTCATCAAAATCATGAGACTCGTCTCTATTTTTATAATTAGGAATATGTCTTTGCACATAGTTTGGATCAATATATTCTTGCGGGCTTTGAGAAGACATCCTAGCAACACTGTCATACAATACAAGATTTCCTGAAGATGTAGTCTGGTGGAAATTTCTTTTATCAGATACTTCGTTTGGGCTTGTGGCTTCATAAAGTCTATTCCTTGAATTTTTCCTTTCTAACATTTTCTTGCCATGAGAATATTCATGGTCAAATTCAGAACTCATTTGTATCTTGCAACTGTCTGAATCATCAGCCATTCTATTCTGTCTGAGGTTATCTAAAGTTTCTTCTTTACAAACTGGTTTATTTTTACGTTTTTGCTTATTTCTTAAAATACTTTCAACCCTTTTGCTGCTTAGCTTGAGCATTTCAAGCTGATTCTCTGGATCTGAGTAACTCATTTCATTCAGAAGTTGATCTTCTTGCTCTGTGGATATTATCATTTTACTTCTCTTGATCGAATTCTTAGCCTTCTTATAAATATGATCACTTGAGGATTCATCGATATCATCTTCATGACTATATTCTTCATTGTCAACTTTATTTTCAGATGAAGAATACTTGTTTTGCTGCTGAGTATAGTACTGGTCAAGCTCATCTTCTTCTACATTTTCATACCTGGAATTTGAAAATTGGTGTTTATCAATATACTTTTGGTTAACTCTTCTGCCAGTACGGAGTTCTTCTGGATATCCATCATGATCTTGAGCCTCTATCATCTTTTGTTGTTTCATATTCTTCTTAAAATATTTTCTAAGATCTCTCTGATTCATGCTCAAAGTTTCTTCATCGAATGAGCTTTGACCTGAATCTTCTTGATTGTCGGTATCGCTATCAGCATTGTAGTCTTGCAATGCAGAGTTCATTGTGAGGGTTTGAACTAGCATATTAAATTCGTTTTTGGCAGACTGCTTTGGCGAGGTCAAACCATCGAACTTATGGTTCATTTCTCGAATGAGTTTCTCAGTATTCTCTAGTCTATCTTCAATGGATGGGCCGTATGCTTGAGATTCAATCATAGTTAAATTTTGCTTCTGATGATGGCAGCAACTTGGGTGATGGCTCAGATTACATTGGCTCTGTAATAGATTTCATTTGCAATGAGGTTGAATCACAAAAGATTCGTTACCGTGATAGTTAACTGGTGTCATGATAGAATTTCTGAACAGATTTGAATGGATATCCATACTTTGGTGAACAATATTTCAGTTATTTTGACTTCCTAAGAGATTTGTACTAGATACTGCATCTCTCATATGAAGGTTGTTTAGAGTCTGTTTATTCTTTTGGTTATAAAACTCTTCATCATAAGAATTATCATGGTACGAGAGGTTTGAGATATGAGCAACAGATCTCTCCTTAAGAGCTTTATCATGAGGAGGAAGCTTTATACCTTTGATAGAAGATCTTAAACTCTTTTTCAAAGATCCCATAGATCCTCTTTCGCTCAGAGGATTAATTTCATCAAGATTATTTTCTTTATTTTTGATCTTTTTCTTTTTGTTTCATTGAGGAGAATTAGAGTCTATTGCTAAATCTTTTTCGTTGCTTAAAATTTCTGGATTAAAATCATTAACTGTTCATTCTTCCTCGTTATTGATGTGCTCCAGGAAATCAGTTGGAGGATACATATTGAATCAGCGAGCTCATTCCAGCCTTGAGCAGCTGTCTACCATCACCTGGCACATATCTTTAATTTTTTTCATTGCTGAAGTCGTTGAATTATATTGCAGACTTGTTCTATTGAGACTATTTCTAGATGTACTTCTTTTGGAGTGGTGGTAGTGTCCTCATCCTTTCTTGTCTAAACCTACACTACAGATGCCTCTTCTTGAACATGTCTTGTGCTTAGTCGAGGTATTCGATTCTATAGCCTTATCTCTTAGGTACTTACCTTTTGGACTTCTCAATCCTTTTGATTTTGAACCTTCTCTACAGTTTCCGTTATTTTTGCTGTTCAAATTCTTAGTAGTCTTGAAAAGATTAAAATGCTGTAATGAAGCAGTTGAAGAGAACAATTTATTTTCTCTCTTCGATATATGTGAATTCTTTCGGTTAAAGCAAAGATTATCCTTCTGATTCTGCTTAGTATTCATTTTTTTACTGAAAAAGTCAAAGTCGTTATATGATCTAGCAGTACTTCTGGATAAGTCCATTCTCTTTTTCCTTTGGATGTCTACAGACCGCTCAGCAAAATTTCTATCGAGCCTGCCTTTTAGTTGAATCTTTTCCTTTTCTAAATCTTTCAGTGATTTCTTAAGAGTCTCTATTTCTTTTTCAAGCTTTATGTTAATATCTCTATGCTTGTTAATTTCTCTTTGACTTTTAGACTTCTGTTGTGAAAGCTTCGTTCTGAGATCCTTTGAATCAGTTTGAAGACTCTTTATTTCTTTCTTCTGGTCTTCTATCTTACTTTCCCATGAAACTTTGAGTCTTTTGGCTCTTCCTGTCAATTCATCCACCTTTTTCTTTAATTTGGAATTAACTGCCTCAAGGTGAATTTGAGCATCTTCTTGTTCTCTAGATTGACTAGTACTAGTATTTAAAGGACTGCGCGAATTTTTCAAAGTGGTCTTCTGTTTTCCTTTTAATTGGTGGTTCTCAGAGTTCCTCCTCAGGAAAGCATTTCTGGAAGTTGTTGGAAGATTAGGAGTCTTCTTTACCTGAGCTGCTTGTAATTCATTAACTTGTTCAGTTAAAAATCTGCATTTCTCATCCAAAGTTTGGTTTTCTCCCTGCAAACTGTTAATAGCTTGCTCACTTTCTTCTCGGATCTGTTGTAATTGATCCTCATAGAAATTTTTGATTCTTTCTATTTCTTTAGCATAATATTGATCGGCTTTCTGAATACTCTCTTTTTCATATTTTGCGCTTTCATCAAGCTCAGTTAGAAATTCAGCATAGTCAGGATCAATAATACCGTTTTCTAATAATTTCCTGTGAAATCTCTCTGAGTCACCAATGAAATCCTCAATGTCATCATTATCCACCTGGCCAAGAGTCTGGAGCTTCGGATTGTAAGAATACTCCAAATCCTGGGCTGTTAGGTCTATCTGCATGCCCTCCATTTGTTAATTCAAAGTTTTGAATAAATTATCAACTTTTGGCTCCAATAACGGGGTTTTGGGGTTTTGGGGTTTTGGGGTTTTGGGG